GGGGTGGTTGTTTGGGGGTGGGGCTCTTCCCAGGATGAGGGTGAGGGAACAAGGGACCTGCCACTGAGCTTAACTAGGCAGAGTGCTGCACCAAGTTGGGTCAGGCATGGGCCACCTGAGCAGGGGGAGCGGGCAGTGGGATTGCTACCAGGGATACTGTCCCTGAAAGAGTACAACTGCCCATGCAACGAGCAGGAGGAAACGGTGTGGAAAAGACCCCACTGGGACCTCTAGAGGCAGAGTCACAGGTCAAAGGCTGCTGGCTCTGGAGAAGAGGCTGAACCTGGAGGGGCGTCGACAGGCACCAAGGCCCAGATTTTTAAAGATGTTTAAAAATCTGTGAGAGTGAGGTACCTCGATACCTTTGAAAATCTGCCCTACGCACTAGATCTGCAGATCCCTAGTAAGGTTTCCTTGCCTGCTCCTCTCTGCCTGCCCTGAGGGGCCGTCAGCTCTTGTGCTCAGCAGCGTCTCCCCTGAACAGCACAGCGGTGTCCCTTCCCTCGGGTAGGTGCACATGTGAGTGTCTACTGGAGTCTGGGGCTTGGCCTGGTCAAACGCCTACCATCCTCGCCTTGCAGCCCTGCAGTGCCCGGGGCGGTGTCAGGCCCTAGAAAGGCCTCTCTATATCGTGCCACTAATGGCTGCCCACAGGGCTGGGGATCCGCCTGGCTGAGAATCACTCACCTCGCAGCGAGTGTCAGAGGTCATTACAGCTGACACATGCGTGCATCCCCCACCCCCCAGGCATGGGAGCTGGGGGTGGGATTGTGCCTCCCTGCCAACCCTCCTGCTCATTACTGGATGCGAAAATAGCCCAGCAGCCCCACACCCCTTCAAATCGCTGCTAGAAATAAATCTGTTTATGAGAGAGGGCTGTAAAACCACAAGGACGCAGCCTTTCGTGGGGTTGCCTGTGGCTGGGTGAGGCACGCCAGGGCCCAGCAATCAGTGCGGGAAGGCTATTTGTAACTTTCCTAGAGAAAAGGCTTCCCTTGTAATTAGCAATGCACATGGTGCACTGCCTGGGCTGTCATTTACCACAGCCCGGTACATAATGCTGGGCAAATACAGCTTTCAACCCCACAAGTGCTCATGCCCTGCTAGCTAGCGCTCGGCCGGGATCAAGCCATAAACAACACCAGCAGCTGTGTCTTCTCTGCTCCCGGAGTCATGTCTATCGCACACACGGCGGCCGAGTACATGCTCTCTGATGCTTTGCTCCCGGAACCGAGCGGCTCCCGAGCCAAAGGCCTTCGCCTGGAATTACCGAGCGACCGCGTTGTGAAGTTTGTCACGGTGGGGCTGCCCCTGTTCCTGGTGTCCCTGGCATTTGCGCGGGAGTTTTCCACAGGTAAGTTGCAGGGTGGTGTGTTATCAGGACTGGTTTTAGATCAGCATTAAGGGTAGAAAGATCTAGGGAAGGAGCAGGGTATGCAGCACGGACCCCACTGGCTTCCCCTGGCTCTAGTTCTGCTGATGCATCACAGGTACATGGAAGGTTCAAGGAGTGAGGGGGTGTTTATGGGGAACTAGTCAGAGTTCTGGGGGTGTGGAAGAGTTTCAGAAGGACGATAAAACCTTGTGCTGTTTCAGTACCTGCTCCACCCTCTAAGTACTAGGGGTTAGGGTGAGACCTTAATGGGGTGTTGACTGTCCCACATCTGCCACTGCAAGGTTCTTCCAT